CAGAGGGTGTCAGTTTGTGATGTCGGTGACAAATTTATTGTATCTGTCTGTATTGTATTTTCCTTGTTGAACGTAGTTCTATAACCTCAATATGTATTTATGGATATTAATATGCAAAATGATTTCTTTTTCAATACTTATTTGTGTATCCATTTGATGCAGAGTCTGCATCAAATGTGTACAAATGTTTTTTAAAAATTCAAATTTTCTTTTTTTGCCGATATTAGCAGTTTGTATCTTGAAGTTTAACATTACGAAGTTAAAATTGCCAAAATCATCTAAAATAAGCAAATTTTACACATTTTACAAATTTTACCAAAGTTGAAATTGCCAAAATCATCTAAAATAAGCAAATTTTACCAATGAATTTTCAAGAAATTGGTCAATTCTGGTGTTTTTTGTTACCACGAAGTGACACTGCACAGGGTGTCAGTTCGTGAAATTTGTTTTATGTGTTTTCGGATAGTGCACGCATGAAATAGCGTTAGGGAGTGTCAGTTCGCGAAAACGAAAATTGACGTGTTTTTGGAGAGTGCGCGCACGCATGCGCAGTGTGTGCGCGCACTCTCCCAAAACACGTCAATTTTTGTTTTCACGAACTGACACTCCCTTAGGGCCCTGTCACACTTCTGCGTATCCTAATTCCTTATGAGTTGCGCATTGACATTTTTTTCATACGCAGTCGTACGCACAATACGCACCTCATATGCATCTCTATCGTTTTGTGTAAGTTTTATGTACGCAGGCATACGCATGGTACGGCCCAGTACCCTGGATAGTTTTGGGCATGCACAAAACTACGCTGCGTACGCTGTTACGCAGGTCATAAGTTATAAATACGCAGCACATCAGTCCCGCATCGGTCGAGCACGTTACGAGTACGCTATGTGTTCGTGAGGGATAAGCCGTTCATACGCGGTAATACGCTGACCTCCCGGTACGCACCCCGTCAGCATGATGAGCCGCCTATATTGGAAGTATACATAGCGTACTTGCTGCGCAGATACAACGCACGCTGAACGAACTCATAGCGAATGTCGACGTATTGCGTCAGGCATGCGGTCGGCATAAGTCGGGTGCGTCCGGAATACGCTCAGCATCCGCACTGCACACTGACCTATTCGCAGCCCGAAAAATAATGTTGTGCACTGCATACGCAACTCATACGAATCTCATACGCAATGGATGCGCTGAATTAGTTACTTGTACGCTAGATGTTCGTCGCACATAAGTCAAAGTATTCAAAAAAATTCGACGTTTTGAGCGTACGGCTGCGTATTGAAAAAATTTGATAAGGAACTCATAAGGAATTAGGATACGCGAAAGTGTGACAGGGGCTTGAGGGCCCTGTCACACTTCTGCATATCCTAATTCCTTATGAGTTGCGCATTGACATTTTTTTCATGCGCAGTCATACGCACAATACGCACCTCATATGCATCTCTATCGTTTTGTGTAAGTTTTATGTACGCAGGCATACACATGGTACGGCCCAGTACGCTGGATAGTTTTGGGCATGCACAAAACTATGCTGCGTACGCTGTTACGCAGGTCATAAGTTATACGCAGCGCATCGGTCCCGCATCGGTCGAGCGCGGTACGAGTACGCTATGTGTTCATGGGGGATAAGCCGTTCATACGCGGTAATACGCTGACCTCCTATATTGGATGTATACATAGCGTACTTGCAGCGCAGATACGACGCACGCTGAACGAACTCATATCGAATGCCGACGTATTGCACGAATTAGTACCGCTCGTCCTGCGAGCGGGCAGCGCATTGTACTTATTCGTAACTTATGAGAAACGCACAGATAGCGAACTTGCGCACTGCATACGCAACTCATACGCATCTCATACGCAGTGGATGCGCTGAATTCGTTATTTGTTCGCTAGATTTGCGTCGCACATAAGTCAAAGTAATCAAAACATTTCGACGTTTTTGATCGCACGGCTGCGTATTGAAAATGTTTGATAAGGAACTCATAAGGAATTAGGATACGCAAAAGTGTGACAGGGGCTTTACGCTATTGCATGCGTGCACTCTCCGAAAACACACGATTTTCGTTTTCACGAACTGACACCCGTCTTAATCATTCAATTGCTAATCAAAGTTAAAGCATTTTCACGTTAAGTGATACTAAAACCTCTAAGATAGATGGATTATTTTACTGAGTAAATTCGTGTCAAACCTTTAAAAGCGTTTTTCTCCGATTTGTATTTCTGCAACGCTGACCACCGGGTGTCAGTTCGTGGTGTCGGTGATGAATTAAATATGTTTAAAGTAGAAATGAACAGACGAAAACAAAAAAATATCGAAGATATTAGCATACAATCATGTGACGAATTTAAAATAACATTATATAACATTGATTGCAAAATGACGAATTGCTTCATATTGTACGTTCGGCAATTGCGGACGACGAAATTGAATTGTCTTTCACGAAAAAGTATGGCTAAGATATGAAATTGTTTGAACAAAGTGCGAAAATGAGCGACCAAAGAAAAAATTGAACATACCCAGGTCATATGCAAGGTCATAAATTTTGAGACGAAATTGAAGTTAATTCCGTTAATGAATTTGAATAAATTTGTTTTTAATATGCGGAAAAACATATATTACTTAGTAGACCTATTTTCTTTTTTTCTCCCAAGAACTATGGTTAGATAACGACACCGTGAACTGGGTCGCAGTGATGCTTAAATGGGATTGGGTTCGCCTTGCAAATCAGCTGGGCATGCTATTGACAGAGGTGGTGACTATAGAGAAATACTACCAAGACGACATCATTCGGCAAGCTTTCGAACTGCTCGTTATTTGGAAACGGGCCCAGGCCACCAGTGTCAAACAGCAGAGGACCACATTGCGCACAGCATTGGAGAACATCGGAAGGGCAGATATCGCAGAATTTCTCCACGGTAAATAATTGTCTCTGCTAATTGTATGCGTAAGGTAAAAAGAATTAAAGAAAGACATTACGTGCAGAAATTGAATACATGTTTACAGCAACATAGCACAAATTGCTAAAAATAGGCCATTTATGCGCCGCAGCACCTTGTAAACCCTTATAAGGTGCAACATAATGGGTCTCATAATGTTCATATACTTCATTTACCTGGCTTGGTTGCATTCTCCCCCAGCGCTTTGTATCCTCTGGCAAAAAGCGCTATATAAATACAGTTATTATTATTATTATTATTATTATTCTGAGTGGGGTTTCTGAAAGTGGTTGCATATCTTGGAATTTATGATATATTATCAATGAAAATGCAAAAAAAAAGATAGAAGAAAGTCCACATTCATTGGAGGGTCATAAGTTTTAATCTGATCGTCTAATGATAACATCATTTATAAAGACCTTTGGGGAATGTTGTCAGGTACATTTTAATACCCACTTTGCTTCCAAAGATTGTAAATCGTACATTATTGACAACAGTATATGACAAATGATGCAGTTTTAAAAGTTGCAAATTTAAAGAGTACGCGAGTGGAAATTGCTGCGTGACAATGCCACACTGCATGAAACGAACGGCAGGGAATTCGATTGAAGTGTTTTCATGCATGGGATCAAGCGAATTGAGTTATCCGCGCTTTTTCGGGGCAATGTGCAGTCGATAGGGGCAAATTACGGTTATGTATTGTTACATTTTCATACTGCATTATATAGCATAAACCGCTGTCAATCTTGGACAATTTACAGTCTTCGGTAGCAAACGGGGTATCAAAATGCCGTTAACCAAATTCACCAAAGGTCTATATAATTGACGTCATAATGAGGTGATCAAGTTCAAAATTATGACCCCTCCAATGAGTGTGGACTTTAATAACACGTGATCAACTACCCACCAATCAGGTAACGGGGATTTATTCAGTCGATGAATTATGTCACATATCTGTTGATCAGTGGGTCCTGATTAACTGTGTTTGTTGTGAAATAGACTGTTTTTCGAACTTCTAACAAATCGGAAGATCAAATCTTTGTTATGTTTCTCCTACTGAATTAGGTACATCACAAACCGAGGAGACCCCTGTATCAGGTATGTATTGGTAAAGTTTGCGTCTCTAAAATTCTCAAAGCGTCGCAATACTGGAAAACAAATTATTCCTGCAATGTGGGTTTTTTTCACCTTAATGTTCCGTAACTCATTATTTACCTGGAGTTTGTGTAGGATTTTTAGGTATGTATTGGTAAATGTTCCGCCCCTTCAATTCCAAAGCATCACAATACTGGATAACAAATGATCCCTGCAATGTGGTGGCTTTGTATCCCCCTGGCTGTAAGCTGGGGGGGGGGGGGATATTGCGTTAACGTATTCCTTCTGTGTGTATTTGGGTGAACGTATAAACCCTGCCTTATGTGATACCGCAACAATGGGAGGTACCCCACAAGGAATGCCCACCGACTTGGAGGGTACCGTTTTGGTACCCCACAAGCTTTTCGCGAAAAAGATATATGTTTTAAAAGTTGCACATTTAAAGAGTACGCGAATGGAAATTGCTGCGTGACAATGCCACACTGCACGAAACGAACGGCAGGGAATTCGATTGAAGTGTTTTCATGCATGGGATCACGCGAATTGAGTTATCCGCGCTTTATCGGGGCAATGTGCAGTCGATAGGGGCAAATTACGCTTTTGTATTGTTACATTTTCATACTGCATTATATAGCATAAACCGCTGTCAATCTTGGACAATTTACAGTCTTCGGTAGCAAACGGGGTATCAAAATGCAGTTAACCAAATTCACCAAAGGTCTATATAATTGACGTCATAATGAGGTGATCAAGTTCAAAATTATGACCCCTCCTCCAATGAGTGTGGACTTTAATAACACGTAATCAACTACCCACCAATCAGGTAACGGGGATTTATTCAGTCGATGAATTATGTCACATATCTGTTGATCAGTGGGTCCTGATTAACTGTGTTTGTTGTGAAATAGACTGTATTTCGAACTTCTAACAAATCGGAATATCAAATCTTTGTTATGTTTCTCCTACAGAATTAGGAACATCACAAACCGAGGAGACCCCTGTATCAGGTATGTATTGGTAAAGTTTGCGTCTCTAAAATTCTCAAAGCGTCGCAATACTGGAAAACAAATTATTCCTGCAATGTGGGTTTTTTCACCTTAATGTTCCATAACTCATTATTTACCTGGAGTTTGTGTAGGATTTTTAGGTATGTATTGGTAAATGTTTCGCCCCTTCTATTTCCAAAGCATCACAATACTGGAAAACAAATGATCCCTGCAATGTGGTGGCTTTGTATCCCCCTGGCTGTAAGCCGGAGGGGATATTGCGTTAACGTATTCCTTCTGTGTGTATTTGGGTGAACGTATAAACCCTGCCTTATGTGATACCGCAACAATGGGAGGTACCCCACAAGGAATGCCCACCGACTTGGAGGGTACCGTTTTGGTACCCCACAAGCTTTTCGCGAAAAAGATATATGGATTTTACTCAAAAACTAGGAATTTCCAAGGTGGGTTGATGTGTCGCAAATGGAAGAGTTTTAGAAAATGGATATTAGGTCCGAATTTCAGCCCAGGAAATTAATTCTGGTTGAATAAGAGCATTTTGAAAATAGTGTGCGACATTACAAAATTTTAGTACATGAGAGCAAAGGAAGTACCCCACTTCTATGCCTGTGTGCGTGGGTTGGCATTACATTCACTGTGTGGACTTTCCAACAAAAGAGGTTCACATAAACCAGGTAGAGGAGACGTTGTGTGGACTTGGGCAAGTCCACACAGTTTTTCCCCATTTCTGGAAAACAGGTTTAGAGGCATTTTTGGGTTAGGTTTATCTTTGGCAAAATGAAGAGAAACACCTAAGAGGATCATGTAGCATAGCGTGCCCACGTTTACTAAATTGTTATGTAATTTGTTGAATGTGAAATGGTCCTGTGAATGAATCACTATGTTTACTAGAATACAAAATGGACCGGAGGTCAAGGGGGCTGTGTATGATCATCAACAACGTCGACTTTGAGGGATCACACGAACCCCGCCTAGGAAGTGATACAGACACAGGTTTGAGATTATGTTGTTTCGCAAAAAGGTGTTTCTGACTAAGAATATCCACCTACAATTTTGTGTAGTTGCTTAGATTCACCATGATACAATGCAGTTGGTGAGGAATGAGAAACCGCGTTGAGAAACCCAGTGGTCGGGACCGTTGTTTTAGTGAAGTTCTGCATGTAGCACTTTTAAAATCTCGGATATGAAAACCCAATTCATAAGCTTTCTTTTAGTACAAGAATCATTCAGATCACTCATGCACTTTTTAAGTTACGGAGTTTTAAACACAACCACCGGTTTAAAGTTCTGTCCACGGATCACAAAAAGGTGTGCGCTCTTTCAGCAAAACGAAAACAATTCACACACATCCTTACGTGATTGTTTTCGTTTTGCTGAAAGAACACGGAACTTTTTGAATGATTCTTGTACTAAAAGAAAGCAAAGGAATTGGGCTTTCATATCCTAGATTTTAAAAGTTCTACATGCAGAACTTCAGTAAAACAACAATGGTCCCGACATTTGGGTTTCGGTTTTTTTACTCACTCTGTATAATGATTGGCAATGATTTGGCTGATTACCAGGGTTACCCACCACACACGAGTGTACAAAGTCTTCCGCTCACAATGAAACAGCCATCACTAAAAACTACGTGAAGCCGCGCTATCCTATATTAGATTAGATTCTACAGTGTCTGATGTCTGTCTGTTTGTGTGTCACGTTTTTGTTTCAAAGGTCTAATGAGTGTTTGAAAAATGAAACGGTTAATGGAGAGGTGTCCAGTGTATATGCAGGTCCTATGCTGTGATTTTATAGTCCTTTGAAGTCACACTATGGCAGTTGGCAAATGAAAAAAAAAGGATTCATTGTTTCGTTCAGACTTTCACTATTATATTACAAAATTATCTATAATACAAACCACTCAAAAACTCTTTTACTAAAATCATAACGTTAATGACCTGCGAAAAATGTGCAAAATTGCTTCACCAAAGCTGACCCCAGTGATACATTAGCACAGTGTATGACTGCACCCTACCACTAGCACTCTGAGCGCTGAGGTAAAATGCATGTGCACATGTGGAGCATATGACCCGCCTGGTTTTATGGCCGTAGTATATGCGGGGGAAAAATTGCATGCGGAATTGTGATAAGCCAATCGATATTTTATGTTGAGTACGAAATTCAACAGCCGTCCGGTCAGTCAAATTTACTGTGTACGCAGAATATATTTCTGACCCGTTGGCTGTTGGATGTCGTACTCAGTCATGCACATTTGTGTACGTTGGTTGTTGTCGTGTAGTACTTATGATAAACGTTGGTATAGTACCTACATGTATATAGCCTCCACCCAGCTGGTAGGTGCCGCACATCCCACTAGTCAGGTGATAACGGGTCAATATCATCTTTCGTGTTATGTGCAGGTAAATTGGAGCGTCTGTTCAACAAACTTCATTTCCAGGTGGAAGTCGAGAAGAATCTTACAGCCAGTGACATGCTTGATTGGTTCAAAAGAGTCAGTCTGCGTAATCACAGTGACTATGACTGTTTTGCATGTTGTATCATGACACATGGGACATTGGGTACAGTCTCCGGCACAGATAACACGCCTCTGCAAATACAACAGATCCTGGGACTTTTCACAGGAACTTCATGTCGGAGTCTTATTGGCAAGCCAAAACTGTTTTTCATACAGGTACGTTGAATACCAGTGTGATATTTTTGTCTCTCTACTTATAATACTTTGCAACTATATGTGACGCCGAGATATGGAAATAAATGGAAATATTTAATGACATTTCATTTGGAAACCTCAGTTTACATGGGTATACCTTTGTCAGAGGGATCTTCATCTGTACTGTATTGTAATGCTTAATTTGTGTTTTGATGTACAGGTTTTAGGACACAACCATGCGGAAATAAAATGTTTCATCCCGCATTTGCTTTCTATCGATTTTCTCTATTGTATTATATCTATCTCTGTGGCCTGGTTACAATATGGAGAGTTACAAGACTTACCTTACTCACAAAAAAGGAACAATGGTACCCACAGGTCAGCCTTTGTCAAACGGTACCCCAGAAGAGAAGTTCTAAAGAAGATCGATGGATAAAGGGAGAATTGCAAATACCCCACAATCGACCATGCGACTGTTTGCGTGCGTTTGTTTATGGTGTAAATCAAGGAAACACACGTGCAACATCATCGATGAATGGAGGACAGGAACCAAGTCGAGGACTCTTCGGTTGGAAAACGTGTACAAAACCAATAAGAGCTGTTGCAAAAAGTTACAAACAAAGGAAAAAGGAAGAGGAACAATAGAAAACCTTCGATTTACACCATACACAAACAGGTATGTACAAGCATTACATTCACTGTGTGGACATCCGAACAAAAGAGGTTCACATAAACCAGGAAGCAGCGACGTCTTTCTCCCTCTCTGAAAAACAAGGCATTTTTGGGTTAGGTTTATCTGTGGCAAAATGAGAGAAACACTAAAGGGAATCATAGAAAAAAATTGGGTTGAAAGAGTTTTCACAGTGAAAGAAAAATGAGGTTTTTTTCACAGGTTTTCTTAACTTCACGAAAACAAAGGAATGTCCAAACTAAGTATGTAACGTAAACATGTATGTTAGTGTCTTTGTGGGTGCTGGTTTCCGGCTTTTCGACACTTTGGCATGAGAAAGCTGTGTCCAAAGCTCACATGCACTCTCGTTATTGTCATATGCTGCTATTGATCATCTTGACATAAATGTTCATTAAAACAATGTCCATGAAACTTCTTAATGCGACTCGTGTCGTAGCCCCTTATCAATAATGTATGTAAGACTCACCAGTCCACGTTTAAGTGAACATCTTGGTAACAACCACAGACAAGTTTAGTCACAGACCCCGTGTTTGGATTTACCCATTTGTTATCTGCTGTCTGCGTGATCATAACCGAAGTTGTGGTCAACACTTTTCAATAGTCATCACTTGGCAATATTTCAATTTGTTGTAAATTGTAATGATTACTTTTCTTTCAAAATACCCATTTATTGCCATTGATGGGATGGGCCCACTCTGGACGCAACATCATGTAAACAAAGGTGACGTTACACACATTGTAGATCCTTTACGTTGTGCCCAGAAAATCTCGCAGGTGTTTTGATTTCAACTTACATGCTCTATTTGAATAGCAATGTTGAGGCATCAGTGTTGTTTTATAAATAAGGGATGTATTTGTTGATTGCCCAGCAAGTAATGAGTTCAGTTGTTACTGATGTGTTTTATTCCAGGCTTGTCAAGGCAGTAGCCATCAAGAAGGAGTACAAGAAATGGATACTGATGCTTTTCTGGTTGGATTAGGAGCTGGCCTACCCGAAACACTACCTAATGAAGCTGACTTTCTGCTGAGCTACTCCACGGTACCAGGATATGTCTCATACCGTGATCCAACACAAGGAAGTTGGTATGTCAATGCGTTAGTAGATGAGATGTCCAAGTCTCACAATACTACTCATATTCTGGACATCTTAACTAGCGTGAACAGCAAAGTGTCCGATCTGAATGCCCAAACCATGAAACAGGTGCCAGCACCCTGCTATACATTAACTAAGGCTGTGTATCTGCGTAGTCTGGTTCAGTAAATCCATCCTTTTATCTGTAAGTTCATAACAAGGAAGAGATAAAAAGAAAACTGTGACACAACACAGACAATTAAATCAGTACCTTATTCTCGTTTTTGGCTCTAGGGGACACGATGGTTATTTTCTTTTCTTGAAAAAGAATTCACACACAGACTCACTTAATGAGCACTGTGCTTGCCAGGGTCCAATGGCCAGCTCAAATCTAATATTACAGCAGGTACCGTAACAAAGGACTTCTGGTGGAGTTCTGCATTTGGGAGACGCACAGTGTAATAATAGGTTTTACCTGAGTTGCAACCATCGGTGAATGAAAAACCGAAAAAGTAGTACATTTATAAACATGCATGAATATCTGTTTCCCATATAATATGATAATGTTGTAATGGATGGCAACTTAAGTACTGTACAGTGAAATTTTGATAAGTCCAACCTCAAGGCGACCGGTTCAAAATTAGACTTAAGCAGAGTTTTGAGTTAAGAAGGGTTGTATATCATTGTTATACTACTAAAGGAAATAGATCCTTTGTTTGACTAAACAATTGTTTTGCGTTATCAGAGTTTGACTTATTGAGATTTCAACCAGTGCTGTTTATCATTAAAACTAATCTTACAGTACGCCAACACCACGTTTGATGAAGCTATCGATCACGACAATTTATCCAGGCCTATATTGTTTTATTAAAAATTAGAATTTTTTTTCATGAGGCCAGCATGTAATGGTTGGTTCTCTAGGTTGGCTTGTATATAACAAGCTTTAAATTGATCAGTTTCTGCTGGCTTGATCTGTTGACGTCTCTCATTTTATACTTTAGCAGTATTTTGTGAGTGTTTTGTCTTATTTCATGCATATTTTGCCTGTCAAAATCCTAATTTTAATACTTTTGAACAAGTAAGACACATACGATTTTGTAAACAGCTGAAATCTATCAATGTCTTGATTAATCACATTAATTTGATAGCACAACATTAAGCTGATAGCACACTTCGTAGGTACAAAGAGTACTTTGAAAGCACATTTTAAAGAAAAGAGTAAGGACTTAAGTATTTCACCTTGTATAGGTTAGTTTGTATTTTTGTCTCCCTAATAACAATGACGAGACTGGCAATCGGACAATAGACTACATAGTTCATCAGCGATCGCGAGGGGGGGGGGGGCTGTCATTATTAATTTCCCTTTTTCCCTGCAATTTTACTTGTATTTTATGTTTGTGTAGAGAGCCTGTTCAGTCAACCTTGTATGCAGTCGGTCTCTTGACCGCAGCATAGTTAACCAATTCCCAGGTGAATGAATACAGTCTTTGGCTTTATATTCTTCCATCCAGCGTATCTAAAGGTTTTCCAGTGGGGTCATAGTTAGTCAAATTAGATCTTGAGTTGTAATAGGGACTTTAGGACTTACGTGAGCCACATGCAATGTAGAGGAGATAACAATGTATATGCTTTTTGATTCCTGGTATGTTTTAAACTTAGGTGTGGTCCCATATGCCGGCCAGAACACTCATTAGACGCCACAGGTGTTTGACCTGACAGGTCTTTCAGTTTTGCGATTAGAGATATTTTGAATTCGTGTTTTTGAACCAGTTTGGCACCTTTTTTGCCGAAGATTATGCTGTGTGCACTTTGACGGTTTGCTGCAATTTCTCTGTGAAAGTTTGTGTAAGTTTTGGCTCCTTTTAATGCCAGTTTGGTCATCTTGTCTTGAGAGATGATGGACCAGGCACTGGGCAAAGACACTAAGTGAACCTAGAAGAAACGAACTGTAAGGCTAATTTCATTTATTTTTATTTGTACTCATTTACAAAGATTTATTGCTAGTAAATTATTTATTAATTTGATTGCGATTATGAAATAATGTATCTTCGAATCTCGGTTGGATTGTTGTTATTGAGAAGTTGTTAATCGAGAGCTTGAATTGCCAGGATGAAGTTGGAATTATGATCAGGATTTATAGAGCTAGAACTCCTAGTTTTCAGATTGGAATTAGTTTCAAAGAAGTTTGGGATGAACTAAATATTAGTGCCAACTAACTGTTCATTGTTTTAGAGATGTGAGGTTGTTATATTTCGGGTATATATGTTGATACTTGGATGGCCAAGTACTTGAGTGACTATCTGATTGACAGAACTAGGCAGGACTCATTGAGCCTGACCGCAGGCTATAGGTTTCTGACACCTCGTTTGCCAAGGACAGGTTGAAGTTTTCTGCCAGAGTAGAATATTTAGGTTTTAAGTAGTAGCGCCGCACATTTCACGGATTCAAGGAGCATGCAGTATTTGCTGTTAATCGTATCATTTGATTGAATATCGTAGATTAATCATTGATTTGATGCTGGGGTTTTCGATGGCGTTTTATAATTCTTTATTTGTTCTTTAATTCGTCTGATGTTAATTCTTATATGTTAAGATTTTATGTATAAGTATTGGGGTTTTTTTGCAAATTGGGAAGAGGAATTTCACTTTTAGTTGTTTTTGTTTTAATTGTTTTAATATTAATTGTAAAAAATAAAATATCGAAAACTGAATTGAATTGATGTGGCAACACATGTTATGTTGGATTTAAGAGTACATGTGTTGTAAGTAAGCTTAGTAACCAGTTTCTCACTTTTTGGGATTTGAATATAACTTTCTGAGACTTTAAACCTTATCATATTTTAGACGCATTTCGAGAGTTTGAAATTTACATTTTGTTTTTAACTTTTTAACTTGATTCAGAGATTCTGCATCACATATTTTAGTAAAAAAAAGTGAAATTTTCAATCTGGTACGTATTTCACCTACCCTGAAGCTTGAATTACTCGTTTTAAACATACATGTACGTTTATTTTGGGTGAATATTTGATTGCAGTTTATTTATGTGAATGTAAATACGATTCTTTGGGTTGTTGTCAATCAGATTATTTGAAGGAGAAATTGATTTCTGTTTGTCCACTATTTTGTATATTTCCTGTCCGGCTCGAAACCGTGTCATATAAGGTTCAATGTAATACTGTATTACGACTTCGGGAAAAAAAAACCAAGCAGACACGACGTACAAAGAAAAACACTAATTCAAAATTATGCTAAAAGTTGCTTGGTGTTGATGTCCCTTTCATGATACGCTTTGTGCATCCGTGTGTGCAATGCAGGTCGCAGTTCGCAATCTGCAAATAATAAAAAAATCTCGATTTGCCCAACTACTCAAAATTTTTAAGTTGCTTGGTGATGGTGTTTCTTTCATGATACGTTTTGTGCATCCATACCGTGTGTGCAGTGCGGGTCGCAGTTCGCCATCTGCAAATAAACAAAGTTCACTATTTGCCCAAACTACTCAAAATCTTTATCTAAGTCAGTGGAAACCCGGACATGCATACATGTCCATCAAACGGATTATCGTCTACACAGCTGCCAAGATACCACGGATATTTGCAGATTTCAAAGATTGCTCGCAAACAATGTTTCATTTATTACATTGTATTAAGATGTATACATTTTGTTACAATGTATACTTACTTAAAGAGTGGTGAATTCGAATTTGATATTGTGACAATATTGGACAGGACAAATCACAAAGCAACTATTGTCACATGCTGTCGTTGAAATACTTTAATTCTGGAAAAGTCTGCATCTGTGTTGTATATCTATTTAAACAGGCAAAAAATAATTAATACCCCTCCTGGGTAAATGGCTCCCCTGTACAGTAACCAGATAGATTTAACTGTTCTTAAAGTAAATCCGGGTTAATTGATAACTGGTAGTTCATCCAGTTTATAAGGGCGTTGGAATTCCAAAACCTGTGTCAAAAGTAGAAAACGTGCAGGAAAGAGCAATATCCCGGTCCGTCTGCAAGATGGGTGGTTTGCTTCAGGCCCTGCTAGTTGTGGTCTCTCTTCAAGGATGCCACTGTGGGGAGGCCCACTCGTCCCATGTCAGAGATTTAACTTTATCTGTGAAGGCGACTGAAAACGGGTCTCAGGTCAGTGTCCAGGATCTGAAATACCATTGTGCATGAACATTGGTTTTTCCGAGTTTTATCTCGATATATCCTGATGTATTCTTGTGTCGAAACACATTATATGAAATATTGTTGGGACAGGCAAACCTAAAATCTCCAAAACGTAAGCTTCTCACTATAAAAGATATTCATTGCTTTACCCGTTACTATTATATTTAATTGAACCGGCCTGCTGACTAAGCACTGTTAATAGCACGGTGTCGAGTGGCAATCCAACCTGTGTAAACTTTGTCTTTGTCTAGCAAACCCTTGAATAGCATAGAGTACACAGTATTTTTTTTTATAAACATAACTCCAGTAGAGGCAAAGTCCATAACCAAATATTGGTGACCCGCTCTGAAAAGTAAATAGTCTGATGTCGCATAATTTGAATCAAGCTTTTGAGATTTTGAAATGGAAACGGTGAACATTTGATCAAAATTAAGATTTTTTGGTATTGTTTTAGTTTGGTTGTTTGGTAGTTTTAGTTTAGATGTCTTAAGAAAAAAAGTTCGAAAGGAACAAAATGTGGATTGTTGATGATTTTTTTGGTTGGTTACAGTATATTTGTCATTTTGCAAGCCCTGTTTTCTCCATTGAGACTTTTCTAGTTTTTGTGGAAATTGACAGAATGAAACAAGCACAACAAAGCAACCAAATGTCATAGAGAGATCCATGACATACCAAATGTAACCTTATTTCATTCTCATTTCATTAACGTAGTTACCTCAAAACGTGAGTTTTGCGAATTCTGACTCAATTATTGCAGAGCGGGTCACATTTAAACATTTCTTTCCACAGGACACTGTTGATGTTTCACCTAGTCAGCATGATGAACAACCCGCCATTAAGTCGCTGCAGTGCTCATACTCTGGTAAGCTTCTTTTTCTCTTCAATTCAGATTATTGTTTTTGTCAATTGCCTAACCCAAACTACGGTGTATAGTTAAAACTATGAAGCCCGGGAAGGGACAGGGTGGATTTTTTTTTTGGAATTTCCTAATTCGTTCGCACGAATTACTAAATCGTTCGCACGAATTGCTAATTCGTTCGCACGAATTGCTAATTCGTTCGCACGAATTAGTAATTCGTTCGCACGAATTGCTATTTCGTTCGCACGAATTGCTATTTCGTTCGCACGAATTCCTAATTCGTTCGCACGAATTACTAATTCGTGGGAACGAATTAGTAATTCGTGCGAACGAATTACTGGAGTTATTCGTGCGAACGAATTAGCAAACTCCAAAAAAAAATTCCACCCTGTCCCTTCCCGGGCTTCATATAAAACATCCCTGGAACTATTTACTCTAATTCCATTGTATAATGGAGAATAACATCTCGTTCACACTTTTAAACGACCTACAACCTTGCTAGCTCTCTTATCCTCAGTAAGAAATATGTGTGTTTACACCAATGGATACTGGCACTGCAGGTAGGAGGCTGGATTCGAACTCAAAACCTGAAGAATTATTCTGAAGTTCATTAACAGGACAGTGAGACCACATACATTGTACTGCAACACTACCTACCACAAAACCTGACTTCATTTTGTGGCATGATAGGGTTGCAATATACAGTTAGTATGCTGGATTACGTGGCACAAAATTGCACAATAGTTTACCTTTTGATCATAAACAAAGTGGGTGGTGGGCATGATCTGTTGTTCTATGTCAGGTCAGTCAGAGAGACGACATTTGTTAAGTCCCCTGCTTTCACCCCTGCTGCATCTTTGACTCGCCCACCAATCAGGCGCGGTTGTACGGGGGGGGGGGGGGGCTGGGGGGGCTGTAGCCCCCAAAAATTTTGTCTAGCCCCTCCAAAATAAATTCCGTAAAAAAAAAAAATTGCATTACCAAAAAGAAGGATTGTGTTGACATGCGAACGGTCTCCCCCTAAAGGAGAAATAGCCGTGACAAGGGGTGCATTAGTTAATATAGTGTGAATGATTTTAGGATTTAATTTGCGCTCCCCATTGAAAATATGGCCCCAATTGAAAATATGCCCCCTCCCCCTATTGATTTTTGGAGGCCTAAGTGTCTGGAAAAAATAACCGTTCTACATTTCAGCACGCCTCCCTGAACAAAATTCTGGATCCACAGTGCTAGCCCCCCCCCCCCAAATATTGGTTCTAGAACCGCGCCTGCCACCAATTCTTATATTTTATGCATATATTTTATATGTGATATTTGTTTTGATTGATATTGGCCTAGCATCCCCTCCTGTTATTCTCGAGACCTGGCCCGATCCAGCAGTCACCAGAATTCCACACACCGCCGACTGGACTTTCCATTTCAAATTCAACCAAAACGTGAGTGTGAATACTGATCCTTCTATAATATCCATATTGTCGAGCAGAAAAAGCGCTGCGATCATGGATGTCGCAATGTTATTTTCCTAGGAGGTGGGGGGGGGGGGGGGGGGGGTAGGTGAAGCAAAGCACATTACCCACAAAAATCGAAGGTTCGAAGGTGGGCGGGGGACATTTACCCACCCCACCCCCATTAACACCACTGCAGACGCCCAGATGTTTAAGAATAGCAAATATGACTTCACACCACTCCCCCCCCCCTTTTTCTCCATTTGATTTGGTTGCTTTTCCAGGGGATCCCCGTGCCCCCCCCCCCCCCCCCACCCCCCGTGCCGCCAATTTGCTGCAATGACGGTATATTCTGGACAGAAACAATAGAAATATCTTCTTTATTAAAGCATTTAGAATGAAAAGATTGTGGTCAAAAAACTATTTGAAATAGCAACAGTCATTTGGCGTCACTCAGCTGTTATTCACGTCTTTTTTAACCGTCAAAATGGGCGACAACACAGTCTTTGTTATCACGTTTTCAGGGAATTTCGTTGAAAACATGTCGCACTCTGCTTTGGATACAGTGACATAATCGGGACATAATTTCAATGAAAATGCCCCTTGTAGAAGGCTTCCACGTGATCGCAAAGGTTGCGGCATCCGACAAACGGTGCACATACTTGAACATATCATTGAACAGTCTGTTGCGAACGAATGTACGCAGAACTAAGTGTGTTAAGCTCGCCGCACACGAGAGCTACGTGCCTAGCAAAAAGTCATTCGAGGCAAACAGATAGATATTTGCCTCTCGGCCTCGAGAGGCAGAACACTCAGTAAAATTTTACCGCACACGGTGAGCTTCGCTGCTGAGCAAACGGCCTCGAATGACTTTATGCTCATCACGTAGCACTCATGTGCGGCGAGCTTTACGGAGATTAGTGAGTTCTGTCATTATCCATATTGTGAAAAATTGAATGGAATTCCGCACACAGGTGAATAGGGCGACCAGACCTGCTTTTGTCAAGGTTTACTACAGGGTCGGCGCATGGGTATTTTCAATCGACGCCTCCGCTGGTGACAACGTTCATTTCCCTGCCCCAGACACATTGCAAGTTGTTGTACCCGCGAACTTGAAAGCGCTGCTAGCTGGAGGGCAAGTGTTTCATGTGCTGTTGGATGAGGGCGTAGTGACCGGTCCTGGGCCATGCTATGTTCCATCAGCTGCCGTTACGGACCCCAATTTCTACAAAGTATTGTACAGTGGCTTGCCAGATCGTAAGAACATTATACCATTTGTAGAAGTATGCTTATATCGGTTTATTTTTGACAAGAGTGAAGTGGGGTACAATTGGTTATGTGCAATAAATATAGTTTTTGTGGTGTCCATATGCATGTAAATTGCACGAGGCTTATTCTTGACTTTACTGCATGTTTACTTAAGGTGACTTAACCACTCAACCTTTCCAAAATGATCAGCTCCTTTAGTTTTTTGCTTGATATGATTTGTTTCAAAGACTTCTTTTGTCCAAAATGTAGCTAACAAGAATGAATTGTGTTTATCTTTATATTAAGTCGCACCATTTTGTGGCGCTTTTGATAACAAAATAATGTTGTTTCTGTACTCATGTAGGATACTACGATACTCCGTACAACACAACTTCAGCGCCACCATCAAGTTGCTCTGACACAGGTAAGATACGGCTGCTTGTAAAACTGTAAGCTTGCGAAGGGCGCCCTCACTGTTGACATGTTTTGATTATTTAAATCAATCGGGTACAATGGAAGTACTAAGACTTGACTACTCTTGCGTTAGAGGAACACTTTGACACGTTTGTTACGTTTTATCCTTCCGACTACTTTTTCTTCATATTGTTCGAAAACGATTTGGGCCCAAAGACTAAAGCAACATGTCATGAAAAAAAATCTTAAAAAAGACTACCAGTGTGTGGGAGGGTGCTAATGTTCTAAAGCTCATGCTTTGCTCTAAAATGCTTTTGCTATTAAATAAATCTAAGATGTGGTAAACATAACGGCCTACTGTGTCCATACAGTGCCATGAAACTTTACTTAGAAGTTATTTAATCCTACCTAGAGTAAATGATGCCAAGAATATGTCTTATAATATGGGATTCAAACTGTATTTTTGGATGACTGTTGGAAGCTGTGAAATAATTTCCTTTACAGAACGTCCCACTGTCATTCAGTCTTGGCCAGCTGATGGATTTTACTCTTCACTCAGCATAGCTAAACTAACCCTCAAGTATGATCGAGAGGTTAGTATCAAATTGGATTACAGGTAACAATTAACTTTTGTTTGCATTAATTGGGGATGTACAATTGAAAGTTTGGTGATTTCACATTTTTTTTTAAGAACGCTGGGCTTATACTACGTTTGTCAGAGAGCTTGTAAGAAACAAACTACGTGCTTCCTTGTTGGAAAGGATCCTTTTATGGAATAGCCACTTGCAAGGCAAGCGTTAAATGATATGTGCGGCGATTAATTGTGCAAAACAAGACTCCGCCATGATCTCCAGATCCTAACCATTCAGCGAGCGCCTTCTATCGAGTCTTCGGTGACCCGTTGTTTTGTTACCGAAGAGCGTGGCAGCTCAAGTGCAAATCAACAGCTTGGACCGAATGTTTGCTCGAAACGAAGTCACAATTTCTAAAGTTAACACCAAATGGCTGCACACCCGGGATAGCATTAAATTTACATGTCCATATATATCAGGCGTTCTGTGCACACGTGAATATCTGAGACTAATGGCCTGCTTACCAGTGCCATTGTCTGCAAATTAGCAGTTGGCATTGCACTTGATGCTGTATTTTCTTCCAACTATTCATTAGGTCACGGTGGCTCAGAGCCTAACAGGTGTTTACATATACAGACGACATGCTTGGCAGTCTGCCCAGAACTGCAAAATCGTCCAGACGGCTGTAGACACAATAGAAACAGACTGTTATTCGCCGATGAATTTGGATCTATATGATTTGGATGGTAATGGAGTGTTTACCATTATAATGGCTGAGGATGTAGTGACTGGTCCTGCCCCTTGTAATGCTCCTTCTGGTTGGCTTGCTATCACACTGTACACCGGCTCACCACCAGGTAGGTATCTGTTTTACACTTGACTGCTGTGGTGTGGAACATTTTTTTTATATTTTTTTAATTCTTTGGCCTCTCTGGTGATAAACTGCCATGTCACATTGCGTGTATAGCAGTCAACAGTTGTATTCTGATACCATGTGGTGGTGTCCACCTGCCTTGCTTTGTTGGATTTGTCATAAACAACAAAATCTGGATTTAATGTTACTACTGTAGATTCTTTAGTACTTCTTCAGGAATAATAATCCGCTCTTCATAGATTTGGAATATTTCTGCTTCCTAATACAAGCCATGAGAATTCATAACATCACACGTTATCTATACGATTGTTTTTATGGGAGCTATAGTAAGTGCAACATTCGTTCCTACATTCCATTATTGAGCGCATATAAAAACAACTATATCACACATCAGGACGGTAGGCCTTTTATAATTTTTCGAATAGGCAGTTCGGGTAATAACGTGGGGATACATACAGGCGTAAAAAGTTATTCGCATTAGTTTATTTGTTGCCATGACATACATGTACTCTTTCAGTTTGATTATGATCTAAATCTATATGACAGCAGACTGGACAGTGTGATAAATAAAAAACATGGGATGAAATGACTAATAAAGGCGTTTTGTTTTCTGCATCATTTTGACACAGCTACTGATGGGGCCCCAACATACGCATACACCACCGAGCAGTTTGGAGACTGGACGACACGCGACAACCCAGGCTTCCAGCCAACAACCGAATATTGGCCAACAACCCAGGAAGGTGTAGTATACTCAACTTCCATGATAATGCTGGACAGAAAGTCTTTAACTCACCCACCTATGTATATAGCACTCTAGTAACTTGTTGGAATCAACTTCCAATAGTCAGTTGGCGTAGAATTAATGTTTGACAACATTCTGACCGACTGGTCCAAAGCACCAAACTTGGCAGATAGATTCTTATAGCGAAGACTTTAACTCGAAGGAAGGTTGTGAAAACTACTCCACTTCCAAAACAATACACGACAGAACAAACTATTAACTCACCCACCTATTCATACACTGTAAGTTGGTTAAAGCACTGTTAGGCAATGTTATAGACCTAACATTGGTATGAAATTACCTTATTGTCGGTTTATGTGGGTAACAATTGACCAACTGTTGGGAAGAATTTTGAAAAACGTCATTAATGTTGAGCATGAAACTCATTCGGCTAAATATTTTTTGCTATTATCACCTTGAGTAAGAGAGAAACAAAAATCGATTTGGAAATCTTGTAAGCAAGGCCAGACGTCCAAAATGCGGTTGTGTAAAGGGCATTGAATCCGGCTGACAGTCGCCTTGTGTGACCTAATTGGAAGAATCGTATATTCCAAATCAACCTGTACACCATTAACTATTATAATCATCATCATTGACATACTCAAAAGTGTTTTTTTTTCACTCACGTCAGATAATTACATTTAACACATCATAATTGGGTGTACTACGTATCTAAAGTAAAACGGGGACATTCATGTTCGAATGACATAATCGTAACATTGTATCAGACTTGTATAAGTACGAATAGGGATATTCACTTTCTGTGAAATGTTGACCATCATGTTGCTCAAGCAAGGTTGAGAACAAAATTAATTCGTGCCATGTTTCGGGACGCCATGTGATGTTAGACTTATATGTTACATGTTTATCACAATGCCTAAATATGTAAAATCTCATGATCTCATTTATCAGACAAGTTAACAACTACCAGTTAATTTATTTTCTAAATAACCTCGTCATGTAGTTACGGAATCCCCGTTTACCGAGCCAGCAACAACTCCATGGATGGACTGTGCAAGTATGGGTAAGAGTGTTTTTTCACTTCTAATTTTATATTTGATTATCAGAAGTCCCAGCGTTGGATTCCTAGCTCCATTTACTTCAAATTTGGTAAACAATCAATATCTTCGTTCTGTTTTTTTTCCATAATTTTTGTTGGGGGGGGGGGGAGTTCAAGCCCCTTCCAAAATCGGAAAACCTATATTACAGAACAGAATATGACCCTCACGAGGGTTGGACTGTCACTTCAATATATTTTGAATAATTTAAGATGGCAAGCATGCAATTATACATTATTTTATACCGTCAAGCGAAAACTGTTCAAGTGGCATTAACAGCTGAACCCAGCTATACACCCCTCCATCATGAACAAAAGTACCAGTAGCTCTTCTCTCCCGTGTCTGTATGTGTGAATGTCACAACTTAAAATTATCACAGTGGGTACACCTTTCAATTCAGATACCTCTTATTACTAAGCCTCGAGTCATTACTGTGTCGGCATCTCAGTTGTACCCATATTAATACATAAGTTATTGATTGATGTTTCTATAGCATATCCTGCTGTCGTTGAGGCCTGGGCTGACGCTACAGTCAGCCCTTATTATAGCTGGATCTGGAATTTCAGATTTGATCAACATGTGAGTATACTAGCCAACGAGGTAGTCATGCTAAAGTGTGTGAGCATAGATGATGTATCATGTTCCATGGTTCAAGTAATCATTTCAAAGCTTTTATTTTTGTTTATTTATGCATGTCTGCAGCGATGCAAATAAGGTAGTAATAAATTAAAAGTTCAAGAACTTCCCTTTAAAATGGAACAGAGATGTCGAGTCATCACAAATCCATCACAAGTCTTCCAGTCCCAATTCAGATCACATGCTATATGAATGAGCTTTGACAAAGGCATTCCTTTGTTGTTGTTCATCCGTTATTTCTTGTGACTGGACTGAACTCACTGCCATTGAAATTCAAATTGCAGATAACCAAGGCAACAGGCTCCAGTTGGGTCTATGCTAATTTCTACGAAAGCAGCGGACAGTTTAGATTAGGAATCCCCACCTGGGTTACTTACAACGTCCGATTTCCAGCTCCCGACACGCTGCAAGTTCTAGTCCATGGGCCAAGTTACCTTCCCATAGGACAGGAATATTATGTCCTACTTGATGAAGGTGCAGTAAATGGCGCAGCTCCATGCTATTAACCATCTGCCGCTGTCAATGATACATACCTTTGTAGAGCTGTGTATGGTGTTGCACCAAATGGTGAGGTTCAAACTTTTGAGTTTATCAGATTACAACGTATGCCTAATCGACTAACCTCATTTGTCTTGTACCAAATGAGTTTCAAACGGTAAATTTGCTATAGCCTATCAGATTACTACGTATGCCAAATCGACTTATATCGGTGTTGTAACAAATTGTGAGGTTCAAACATTGAATTTGTTATCAGATAACTGAGTCAATCGGTAATCTGACCAAAACAAAAGAAGTAAATGGAATAGCGTTGTCAATTTTGGATTTTTTTTCACAGCTACTGATGAGGTCCCAATATACACCACTCATGTACTTGAGGATTCAACCACATCATCGGAATCTGACAACCCTACCAAACAGCCTACAGAATTCACAACATAGGAGATCGGATGGTCTACCCACCAACCCTGAATGACTCAACCACCCCTCTTGCCATCAATGGACTGCTGCGATTCTGGCATGACGGTCTTCATCCCCCGCTCTGTGATTGGTGATGTCCTGTCGTCTCATTTGCATTTTCTTGACCCGGCGTGCGTCGGTAGTCATCATAACGCCACCCACGTTAAGATTGCAACAACATACGACCGATGTGGAACTTTCATGGAGGTATATTCTAAAATATTATTCTGGATTCTGATTTTTTGGTACAGCTTTCATTTTAGTTCTTAACGTGCCTTTGTGAAGGTTAATTACAAAAGTTTACCTAAAAGTCAAATGGGCTTAGTTGAACAAAGAAATTGACTGAAGCGGTTTTGAACCAGCGACCTCCGGATTGCCATTCCGTTGCTCTACCAACTGAGATATCCAGCCTTTTGTTGGTGGTCGATTTCTTTGTGCAACGCATTAAAACAATGTTACAACGCAACAATTGTTGGCTTCATGTTGTGGTCCTTTTGAAAGTTTGGCATATACAAACTGTGAGGTCAGTGATATATACATTGTTTGCTGCAATTGTCAGGATTAGCTGAAGAAAATACCTTGAAATAAATATACCAAGGTTTCATGATTCTATTTTGAAACGTGCGTTAAAACGTTTCCTTGTGGTTTGTTTGCAACATTACTTGTTTTCGTTTGTTTTCTGGCAGGTTCATGGAGACAGTGTGATTTTTTTCAACGTCATCCACGATGAGGCTGTCCCTGTCGAACCAGGCAGTGTTATAACCCGAGACCGAGATATCGAGATTCCAGTCCAGTGCATCATGGATTTGGAAGGGTTCGCTGAAATAAGGTGGGTCTGGGTGAAGTAGGCTGGGTTAGAATCCACGACTGATAGACTGAGAGATTGAGATTTCTGTCCAGTGCACGATGGACGTAGAAGCAGTGTTGTAGTCCAGTCCATCACAAGTCCTTTCACAAGTACAGTCACAAGTAACTGGGTGAACAATGAAAAAGGAATGCTTTTTTAACAGTTCATTTGAATGACTAGTGACTTGACTTTATAAGCCTGAAGGACTTGTGATGGACTCGACTACAACATTGCTTAGAAGCTAGGTTTTGTTGGATGCTAGAGGGTATACCTTGAGACCAGGATATTGGGATTCCAGTGTAGTGCATCACGGACATTGAAAGAAAATCGTTGTGGGTTGAGTGCAATGAAACCTGGTTACATTTAACCTGACACCTAGATGTTAGGATTGCAATCGATGCATCATGGATGTTGAACGGACTGCAGAGCTGGGACGGATTGGAGGTACCCATAAGACCATAGGTCAAATGTACAGTGGACAATGCATAGATTGCAGGACTAGGATTGAGTTGGAAGGAAGGACATAGGCCAGGAAATAACCAGAGACAAGATATTGATATTCTGTCCAGTGATTCATGAACATTGAAGGGATTTCAAGTTGGATGGAAATAAGCAAGGGTATATTCTGATACCTAGCTGTTGAAATTCGAGTCTAGTGCATTATATATAAAACTAGAACAGATGTCTAAAATAGAGTTGGGTTGAAGGGGATTAGCAGGGTTACAACCAACACTGCATGAAATGTCAGTATAATACACTTTTGTTCCGAACAAAATGTCTAGTAAAAACTGAATAATGATCGCCATTGTTTACATTAGCAGACATTTTTGTCCGTAGGCTATCTTAAGCTTTTCAGACTTTTCTGGTTCATAGTGTGAACTAGGATAGGTTGGAAGGAACCATGTTGGAACCCGAGACCATACTGGTTGTTAGTCATGTGATGCATCATGGCCATTGAAGGGATTGGATTGCTGAACTAGGTTCTGATGAGGAAACCAGGCATATGAGGCTAGAGTCCCTGTGATCATATACCTAAGAGGATTTAACTGGGCTATAAAGTAGGTTGGAGGGAACCAATCAAATGGGGTGAAATAACTAGAGACTATTATTATGATTACTGAGGGAACCAATCAGATGAGGTGATATAACCAGGGACTAAGGTATTATGATTACTGAGGGAACCAATCAGATGAGGTGATATAACCAGAGACTAAGGTATTATGATTACTGAGGGAAGCAACCAGATGAGGTGATATATTAAACCAGAGACCAAGGTATAATGATTACTGAGGGAACCAATCAGATGAAGTGATATAACCAGAGACTATAAGGTATTATGATTCTAATCCAGTGCATGGATTTGGATCGCTGACCTGGGTTGATTGAAGAACTCAGGCAGAGTTAAACCCAAGACCTGGATATTATATTCCAGTCCAGTGAATGATGCACATGGATGCTAACTTACGTGGGTTGAAATTCAGGAATGACCAGGCTGGGGTAACCCAAGATTTAAATATTAAGAATTGAGGCTAGTGCATCTTTGACTTTAAGTAAAGGATCACTGGACTCACTGGGGTGGTTTGGAGGAAACCAGTAAGAGGTGCAGCCTGAGACCAAGATATTGACGGTATTGATTTTTCATCTTTTCATAATGCAGTTTCCGTCCGGATACCTCCAAGATCACATTCCGAGAGGATGGCTTCGGCTCCTTCAACTTCTCCCTCAGACTTTACCATGGCAACGATTACACCACACCCTACCAGCCCGCTGACTACCCCGTCCACGTCGCAATGGGAAACAAGCTCTACTTTGAGGCTCGAACTTGGAGTGAGCCTGGACTGGAGCTGTTTGTGCAGACGTGTCGTGCCACGCCTTCCTCCAACTCGGATGATTTTCATCGTTACACTTTCATCCAAGATGGGTGAGCTAATGGTTTCTAATGTGCAAATGAAATTGAGTCATGTGTACCCTTACATCTTCAGCATGTTCAGATTCACACAGCCAAGCTACTGATGGTTCATCTGTCGAGGTAGTTTTAACAAAAGAGTTGTTTTTGTTGGTAGGGGATCAGAAAATGATTTGTGTGTGCTATAGGTCTTTGAGTTCATGTATATTTCAATATAATCAACAAAAGTCTCACACCATCACACAATCGTAGCCCCCCCCCCCCACTCCTTACAAAACTATCCCTTGGAAATATCCCATGGGATCGCCATGGAGATTTTTCATTGGAATACAATGGAGATTGCCCATGGGGTCGCCATGGAGATTTCCCATGGTGGTCCATGGGGTTTTGGACCCCACGTACCGCCTGGAATTTTCACCTTGGGGTTTTTCCCATGGAAAACAAATGGTGTCCATGGGACAGCATGGCGGGTTTTTTTCGCTGTGCTTGGTGTTCCCATGAGACACCATCGTGTTTTTTAAGAAAACACCATGAGAATCCTTATTACTCCCATGTGTTTCCCATAGCCTCGCCATATGACATTTTTGTAAGGGCCCCCACCCAGGTTACAAAAATAGAAATCAAAAGGCTAATATACATGTTTCTGAACAAAATGGATATCAACTCATATTCAGAGTCAAGTATAGGCCTTTTTTCTATTTGTTTAAAATGTGGGCTAGGAAGTTGTGGTTCCCTGTGCTTCCTTTGATTCTGCACAGGAACCACAAAGAGAACAATAATGACATTCTTGATCTTGTGCCCAAACGTGTAATTGACATTAAGAGGATCTTTTTTCCCAATTAAATCAAAAATATAATGAAATGCAAAAACTGGCATAGAGTCAAGATCACCCATTTTACTGTTCTTTCATTTAATTTTTATTGTGCAGGTGCATTGAGGACAACACAGTGGTGTTCCATCCATCAGACGACCCGGACATAGAACGTTTCGAGATTGATGCCTTTGCATTCGTAGATACCCTACCTCAGCCTGTGGTAGGTGTTTAATCTTTTTGAGGTTGTGCATGAACTGAAGCGGGCGCTGTATAGCAAAGCAGCAAGGTCAAAAAAAGAAAAGTGCCTTTGTTGTTTGACATGTACTGTGCATATGTTGTACTGAAGTAGATTTTGAGTGGTTTAACATACCAGTCAAATCTAGTAAGGTTTGGCACAGAGAATGAAACCCTTATAGAGCAGGTTCTAATTGTTTTCTTGCTTGTTTAGTTGCCAATAATCTTATATAAATGACAAAGCGCGCATACTGTACAACTGTACAGAGTGTGCCAAAAGAGTGAAACTGTTGGAAAAAACAATGAATAAACACAGTTTAATTGTTTTTTTTCTTCAATGAAATAAGATATTACATTAAAGCCTGACTATACTTCAGTTCACCCCGTTTTACCCCATGCCATTGGGTCCCTAGATCCCAAAATACAATCCATTAAGTGAAAGGGTGTACATTTTAATTAGGTCACATGTGATGTCATTATTCAATGCCCATTCAATGCCTATTCAGTGCTCAACCCAGATTTAGCATGTCCAAGGAGTGGATTGAGAGCTTTAATCTGATATATAAGTTCATTGAAGAAAAAGCAATTATCAGTTTTACTTATTTGTTTGCCTGAATGTTGCATTTTGTTTGACACACTCTGTAGTTACTTTCAATTACATAACAGATTTGGAATGGTTTAACACCAAGGCTTGGCATTAATAATAAAAATCAAGTAGAGAAAGTTTCTCACTGTTCTTTGGAAAATTCCAAATCTTAAGTTAATTTCTTGTTTGTTTTACTATATTCTTATTCATATATCTGCCAGGCACCATGTCATAGACCTACAGTTGCATGTCAGGTTATTTATTTATTTATTTATTTATTTCTTATTGATCCACTCAGTGAGAAAAACTCACTGATCTCCCATGGATCCCAGCTCACACAAAACTACTGGTCAGCAAGAATGATTCAGAAGCAGGTGCAGGATTTTCAAAATCTCAGTGGGCTCAGATTTAAAAAGCCAAGAGTTTCAAGGGGGGACTGAGGCTAATGATTGTAGTTGATGCACACAGAGACAAATTATTCTTTTCCATCTGAATACTAGGGACCTAGATGTTGTAACTTAATGTCTCAAGTTTTTATCTAAATTCCAAATCTGTTCCTTCTTTATAGGTGTACGTTCATTGTGACATGGTTCTGTGTAACTCCACTGATGCATACTCGCGCTGTGCCATTGGATGTCCAACTAGAAGCATGAACTTACTCCCCGGTGTGCACAGACGCCATGCCAGATCTGCGTCTGGTTCCCGCGCTTATGCCATCACGCAGGGACCCATATCCGTGATGGAAGATGGGGGGAAAGGTAGGGAAAGGAGGAGGGGTAGGCTATGAAAATGGAGCATGACTAGGGTGGGGATGGGTAGGGTGGTAGGGTGTAAGTGTTAGTCAACATTTTTGGGACTCTCACTACTGTGTTTGAGAGTGCCAAACATAAGATAGTAAAAACATGCAGTACAATAGACTGACAAATGAAACAACCAGTCCAACACAACACCCCTTTAGTACTGTATCAATCAAATATGTCAAATGAGAAATCCTGTACCTAGTCTATATTACTACACATTATTTACTTCTGCACATAGTCATGCCACAAGACTACTTAAAGTAGGTCTTTTTAAAATAGTTGGACATGTACCTGTCTAGCTTTGCCCTTGAGCTTCAAAACGAAACTACTTGGCTTCACTCTAAGATCCAAAATGTTGACGAAAAGACTCCTTGAAAATTTGAATTGAGACCTCAAACTTGGTTAGTGAAATACTGAGGACCTAGTCTTTACCTCATGTGAATTTTGGAGAAATGTGTTCACTATAGAGTTAGTATATTATAAGTCAGACTGATTTTGTTTTTCTTTTTTTTTCTGCACTCAATGTTCAAGACTTGTGTATATTCAGAGATAGTTGTGGGTGGGATAGGGAGGGGCAAATAGATAGGGTGGGTGATATTGGGTAGGTTGGCATGGAGTGGGGTTAAGGAATGAATTGTGTAGAGAGTACTGTTGGAATAGAGGGGTGGAATGTAGGAGATGGGATGGTGTAGGGTGGAGTGGGGTACATTATTTTGATCAAATATTGGGTCATGATGGCATACATGTATACAAAGTGTGGAGCATGGTCAGGTGGGGATAGAATACGGTAGAGTGGGTTGGAAAAGTGTAAATGCAGGGATGGGCTTTCTAGGTTTGATTGGATGAATGTAGTGAAAATGGGAGTTCGTTTCAATAGAGGGCAGTAGGGTCCACAATTCCCGAGAGGAACCCAAGTTGGATTCGTGTACAAAACATATGGGAGGTCTTCCTAAAAAGTATGAGTACAACAAAAGAGGGACAATAGAGGGTCCCTGATTGCATGCAAATACACACTTAGGTGTGTGATTTGTGTCAAGTGCAGTTGGGGTGGATATTCGGGGAAGGTTAGGCTTGGATGGACAAAGATGGGTGGGGCTCAAAGGATGTGACAACAATTCAAAATTTGTGCATTTTTATAATTACAGTTGAATAGGTTGAGTCGGATACTGGCATTTTGTGTTAAGTTCCTGCCTAAAAATATTAGCATTTTAACTTGTTTTTTTTTTCTCAGAAGGAAGTGAGCTGTCGTCTGTTCAGTTGCCAATCCTTTTGACTACTGTCTGCCTATTGGTTGGCTGCGTGCTGGTACTCGGCACACTGATTGTCGTGATGCGTAAACGCACCCAACGCCTTCAACTGTACTCGCCACTGGCCACTGAAGAAAACTAGATACAGGAGCTGTCTACTAGTCTAGTCTTAGTTCATAAAAGGAAATCATTCATCAATATTTTAAAATTATATTTAAATTAAGTAAAAATCTTATTTTTAAATTAAGTAAAAATCTTATATGCTGTTAGGCGTGGGTGATATTCAATAGAAGTTAATTTAATGCAGCAAAATTATACACAGTGTAGTCTGTCAGTCAGTTCTTAATTTCAATATTAACATATCGTGTTTAAATAAAAATAACTGGCTAAGTAGAGTAGTAAGCATTTTTTTTTTCTTCAAACTCGTTTGGCAAAATTAATCAGTTTCGATAATTGTGAGTAAATTTTTTTAAATTTAGTTTTGTTCCCCATTTTTCTTCTTATTAGCAGTAGAAAAATGGCTAATTACCCGAAAATTTAAGCATATGCCCTGCCGATTTGGTGAGAAAAAACTAGCTGAAACTGGCGACTGGAGTGGCTCACGATTTTTGAGCATCCCTAATGAAAATGAATGAAATTTGTATCATCAGCAATGTTGTATTGATATAGTATAGTCATAAAAGTGGAGAAAAACGTTGCCATTTTTTAATTATCGTTTAACCATTAATGTTTCACAAGCTAATTACTCACGGCTTACATGTCAATTGCGTAGAAATTAATAGATGAATAAATCGTCGAATTAATGTTGTTGCAAATGTCGTTTGATTGCTTTCTTTATTTTCTTTGTTTGAACACATTTTTTGTATTTTCACTAATTAGTCGGGAAAAGGGAGTTAAAGATCGATTTAATATTATTATTGTTTTCTTGGCGGTAGGGGGAAGGGTGGTGGGGAAGGAGGGTAGGCCTATATACATTTTTTGTTTAGCGTGTCAGTGCGGGTTAATGGTGGTATTTGACCGTAGGCCCCCCCCCCCCCCAACCGCTTTGATTCGCCGCTGGATAAAGCGTTGGAGTAAATGACCGCCCTTTTTTTCCACTTTGTTCCCCCTCCTTTTTGTACTTTTTATTGCGCTTGTCCGGGCCCCCAGGGGAAGGACCCTTGCCCCCCCCCCCCCCCCCCCCGCGCCACGCTCATGCACATATGTGTACATGAAAGGTAATAAGTCATCCTCTAGGACTAGAATGTATACTGTAATTCCCCCCCCCCCACACACACACACCTTCTTTTTATCTAGCTCAATTTTTGAATGTTCCCAGCCAGCCAAAAATATCATCCTACATGTTTTGTTTTGTTGCGAACACACCCCCCCCCCCCCCTCCTTAACAGGGACATGTATGTCCACTGCACTACACTCAAAACAACCTTTGCCTCAATTATTCGGAATGTGAACACTGCTCTCTTTATATAGAGATCAGCGCATATGCATGATACTTTAGGACATGTAACCAGTCTACTTTGTTTACAGTATACGTAGGCGCACCGTCGATTACATGCTTTCGGTTAATTAATATTATATATCATGTAAGAGTTATAATCTTCAATTTAAAGCCTGATATTTTTCTGGTACCCTTTATCCTTTTAATACTCTTAGTGCAACTTAAAGTTTACAATTACTTTTGAGGCCTACAGCTCTCTACTAAACTAAGTTTTGGGCAGAGCCTAACAGTCCTACGCAACGACTTCGCCATGGCCTACTTGCATATAATTATGTGCGTACGTGCAAAACTCTCTCTCGCCAGCATCAGACCTTTGCATACGTACTGTAAGTTTCACTTTTGTCATAAAGAATTTTATTCATTTCAGTCGTTGGCAGTGATCAATTTGTGGACGCTACTTGTTGAGTCCATGTTCTCAGAACATGCAGGACATTTCTTGAGTATCAAATGTGAATGAAATCCGTTGTTTTGAACGGATTTTTGTGGTTTGACTTGTCGAGAAAGTTGTGTGCATGAGTTCGTTCACGTACGGGAGCTATTGGGACTCGACGACTGGGGATCCAACGGCTCTATCTTGAGCGGGAAAGAATGTGGCATCCTGACGCCTGTTTTTTTTTCAATGAAGGTTAGTCATCGCACAAATATTGGTGATACATGAATGTTGGACTGAGAAACAATTCCAAACTTGTTAAAAAATACTTTGAAAATGCATTTAACTCTCAATATACTTTGTACACAACCACAGAAGTGGCGTCTAGATACTACATTCTTTCCCTTGTGTTTTTGTTGTACAAATGAAACAGGGAGAGTATAAGTTAAATCCAGCTGATTATTTTTCATTTCAACAACCCAGTAAATATTGTTAAATACCAAGTGCCAGTCATTACTGGGGCTTAAGAAAAGGAGGAACTAAGTACAATACCCACTTTCATTTCACAGTGTGTTTAAGTGCGGCAGATAAGTGATGAGATTGTTCATTTGAAGAACAAAGCATTTGGCACTCAGTCAGAGTATGTCATGAGAAAGATATTTTGCTATAGGGCTATCGCAGTTTTGTCCTTTGAAAAAAATAAGGGTTGCTTAACAAGCAATGGCAGGATTTTGCAATTTTTGAAAATTGCTTGTTATTCTACCTTCATTTATTTCAAAGGCCTAGTCTGCGATGGCCCAATAGCTAAATATATCTCTTTAGACATACCCTGACTGTGTGCCAAATGCCATGCTTTTATCATCAAAGTGAACAATTCCCCAAATATCTCCCTATCCGTGCCACTATTTTAAACAGGGTCTTATACTTCTTCCGTAATTAGAGCCACACTGCGATACATTTCCTGAAAAGTTACTGAATTTGAATTTGACACTATGTAATTCCACATTTTGAGACGTCTTGTCACTATCGTGGTAAAATGTGGAGAGTTTTTTTGAATATGCATGCAGTCATTTGTTTTTCGAGGTCATGGGTCATACATGAACTTCTGTAGTTTGAACACTGTACAGGGACGGACACAAACATGCCAAAAAGAAATGTCTTTTGTTTGCACTGTCCTCGTACAACTAGTTCACGAATCCATAGACTTTTGACAATTGGATGACCAAGTGACAAATTCAGCATACCTGACAATGCTACTACCTTTTTGTATTTCAAATACATGCATGCTCAGCCATGTGCTGTACGATTGCAGTAAAGTTTCGACGTTAATAAAGGGCACTTGTTTAATATAGCAGTTTATTGCAATAATGCATCTTTGTGTTCAGTCTGAATTGTTATTCTCCTAATACATCGTGCACTGGGGCAGGCTGGCAGGGGTCACGGGGTCATTGTGCGAGACGCGTGTTGAAGTTGCTACATTGTATACATTCGTGGGATTGGGAGACATGCATAAGATAAGAGCGTGTAGTTGTTGGTTGTTGGAGAGGACACTGGATAGGAGAAACGTGTTTTTGGAGATTAAATAGAGGAGCTGTTCCTCTCAAACGTGAACACACAACTGCTGAAATATAGCCCCGTGCCATTCTTCCCAGGAATCCAAGTAAGCCTTTGAAGTTGACAGCAGTATTTCAATATTAACAAGACCGATACACTACTTCATTACCAAATATGTCACCAGAATTTCTGATTTTTCGTTGTGGTTAGTTTCAGCTTTTGTTTTGGTGATTCATTGTTGTTTCAACATTCAATCAACGAGCGAACGAATTAACGCACAAATAGCTTCACTAAGCAATCTCGGTTTCATAATTTGAACAGCGACCTCTAAAATTAAACGTGTGTGCCTGAAATTTAATCACAGCAACAGCACCCTTTGTTGTAATGAAGAGTGTGGGACAGTTTAATGTTAAAAACTGCACCCTCCAAAAAATGTAACCAAATGTTTATGTCTCACATTAATTTGCAGAACATTAAATTCCAATGTAAAATTACGTAGACAAGTCTGCATCCGCGTCTCATAACAGTTCCATTGTAAGAACCTTATTTTTAGTAGCCGGTTTAATGTTGCGCTTTGCACAATTTTATTCTGGTAGTTGGGTTCCCTTTGTTTTTGTTACAAGGCACAGCGGATCCAATAGAAACTAGACTGCTAGCAGCTATGTGAGACATATCAATTGTTATATTTTCAAAAAGAATTCTTTAAATTGTGCTTTGCTCACTCAACCGTAACATAAGTGGACAAGGGACTGGCAAGGAATGACCATTGACATTTTTTCTCCTGTATCTCCCTTTGCCACAGTACTTTGTATTGAGCTGTAATTTGGTCGGCGAAGCTAGGTATAATGACTCGTGTACATTACCTCCTCTTGTGAGAAAAACGAAAAAATGGAGTAGGCCTATTTTGGCCAGGCTGCTTTCAAGGTACGTTTTCTTTTCATTTATTTCTCTTGCATTTTTAAATTAATTCTCTTGCATTTGAAATTTGTGTGTGTTACATGTATTAATTTGCCTGTTCAGATTAGAAATCACACTTTGGTGGCAGCAATGATCTCATTGAAATGTAAATATTTCAACGAATTCATTCAAGACATTTGCTTGTTCCCCTTCTCCCAGTTGAGCTTTTCGATAGTTTTTAGTGTAGTTGTTCCCAATTTAAGAAAAACTAAAAATAACGTTGGCACTGAATCGCATGCGCCGACGCATGCCATGCTACGCGGTACGCGGTGCACGGACGGTCACTTTTACCGGGCACAGCGGTGCCAAGTGCCCGGTCGACGTGGCCGTTCGTGCACGGCGAGGTACCGGTAGTTTGTGCCGGTAATCATGTAGTTTAGAACCCTCTAACTTTTACAACTTCCGTTCATAATTCAAAACACAGACCTCATTTTACAAAGTTAAACTAGGTGATATTTAACACTGTATCTCAGCGAAATATTTTCCCCCAAAAATTACCTCTCTCAAGTTTCGTTATCGTCGAAACTACACGACTAGGCCTACCTGCTCTGTGTCGATTGTGCACCGGGATTCAGCAACACGATTCGGCACGTCATTTTGTGGATGGTTCCCCGAAGCACACAGGTTTCTTTTTACTCGTACGGAAAGGAGCCCTGCTGATCTCCTCTAGCATGAACACGGGACAAAAGCATTTATTTTTAATTAACGTTTCATTTTGTGCCCTTAAAACTATTCAGACCAGAAAGTATTTTGCCGATGAAGAATTAAAGGGCTTTTCTAAAATGAAAAGTGAGAAATCCTAGACAAATTGAGAGAAAATTGCCCGAATGTT